TATTCTATCAGATTATGTAAATAGTGTATCTGTCTCACCTCTCTCAGAAGTCTCAGCTCTGATCATCTTTGTTTCACTTCTTTAAAAAAAAAGCTCTGAAGTCAAACAGGTCAGAACACACACGTTATTCATGTTCTGAGAAAACAATGCAGCCCAGCTTGATTCTGTATTTTCCACATGAATGTAGGAGTTTGGACAGTGAACTCGTGATGGAGCCAGATGGACTTTTTGGGTTGGATTCCATTTTCTTTTTTTCTGGCAGGAAGAGAAAAGAAAGAGTCCTGGCTGTGGTTCAAAGTAAAAACTAATGGCAGGATATCGTTAAAACAGGTCACTCTCTAACCTTAACCCTTTCTCAGAGTTAAACAGAAAAACAATCAGGTCTGCAGGGTCACATAGAAACAAAGCTTGTTGCCATGGTTTCCTCTTGTTTACTTTATTCCTTGTTTTGTTGCTTTCTTGTGATTTTCTGTTTTATTTTGTATTTGTAGCCTCATGTTTCTCTGTTTTATTTCGTGGGGGTCAGTCATCATGTTCATCTTGGTTCCTCGAGGACATAACATTTAACATAAACTGGCAAATTATATGTTAGCTTCGTTTTTTTGCCCCTTCTTCCTGTTTTTATCTGGATTTTTATTTGCTTTCTGGGTTTTATTCTTGGCTTTTTTATTAACTTATAAACGTCTTCGTCTCATGTGATGAGTCATCAAAACATTCACCCCCCGTACAGTGTGTGTCCATTCAGACATGAGCTAATCACACCTATTTGGTTTTTTGAACCAGGCTGTAAACATGTTCATCTCTGCTGTAAAAACAGGCTTTTTAGAATGGGTGTGTATGTGACTTCCTGTGCTTCTGCAGCCAGCCTCTAGTGGACACTCCAGGAACTGCAGGATTTTACACTTCAGCATCAGCTTCATGTTTAAACACCGGAAGTTGCTGATTGGTCTGCAGAGAAGCTCGATAAACTCCTCAGATATGTAGAGAAACATTTAAAGTTCATGTTTTTAACAGTTGGATAAAAAATAAATGGGGTTACGAGATTGTAAGGTTATAGAATGGAATGAGTGCAAAGTTCCTGTTAACCTCTCTAACACACACACACACACACACTAATGGACTGACCTACAGTCACACGGCTGACAGATCTGGAAAATCCATATCTGGGATTTTGGTCAATAAACTGCACTGCAGGGGGAAGGGGGTGAGTGCAAAGTTCCTGTTAACCTCTCTAACACACACACACACACACACACACACACACACTCTGGGAGTGTCCTGCTGGTCAGTGGACTAACAGAGAGTCCATCTGCCTCTTTTGACCTGAGAGGAACACAAACTCTGAAAACAAACAAATATATATAAACAAACACGTCTGGTTCATTAATTATAAGAAATCAAACATGTGGAGAAACATTTATCTACAGGGTGAATTATACGCTGTGTGTTCAATGACATCCTTAATGTTTGAAAAACTGTTCAAATGTTTTATTGTGGATTAGAAATGGTAGTAATTATTTTAAAACACAGACAGATTGGTGCAGGTATGGCAGGCGGATAGGCTCTTAATCTTTGTACATGTTTATGTCTATGCTGTTGTGTTTGTATCCTGTTATGTGCGTAGATAAGTGAATGTTTATGTACAGTGGAGGTTCTAGACCACTTTTACTGAGGGGGCCAAACTGGGGCCAGTTATTTTGTCAGAGGGGAACATTAAACCCAGGTGAAAAATATACAAAGATGATCGCTTTAAAAAATATATATATGTATATTATGCCAAATAATAGCACACATCATTAAATACCACACCACAACCGGTGGAGATATCCGACCAGAGGAAAATCAAGCCTCCACGTTGTAAACAATGACGTACAGTAGCAAACTTCCACCGGCAGAGGGAGCAGCGAGGACACCGCTTTGAGCTTTTCACCTGGAACCAACTTTAAAAGTAAGTAAACACTGATTACTAAACACAGTCATGATGACACACTTTGATGCTCTACTGTATATAATGTGTGAGTGTGTGTGTGTGTAACTGGTCAGTAAATCTGATTCTGAAGGTCAAACATTTTATTAAAGCGATAGAAACGTTTCTTCTTGGTGCTTTAAACAAAGTTTGAACATGAGAATAGAAACTCACTAAAGCAGATTGTATAAAAGCTGAAGAGGATTCTTCAGACCATGATGATCATCAGGATGAATCCACAGCTTTCAAAGTTCACTTTGACATATTCTCATGTTTCAGTGTCACAAAGTACAGAATCCCAGAGAGGACCAACATCTGACAGGCTGTGATGAGTTCATGAACAATCAGATCACGAGGTTACAGAACAACTCAAACGTACGACTAACAGGAGAACACAAAGGTCCAGACTCTGTTCCCAAAGGTCCAAACTCTGAAGGTCCAGACTCTGTTCCCAAAGGTCCAGACTCTGTTCCCAAAGGCCCAGACTCTGAAGGCCCAGACTCTGAAGGTCCAGACTCTGTTCCCAAAGGTCCAGACTCTGTTCCCAAAGGTCCAAACTTTGTTCCCAAAGGTCCAGACTCTGTTCCCAAAGGTCCAAACTCTGTTCCCAAAGGTCCAAACTCTGTTCCCAAAGGCCCAGACTCTGAAGGCCCAGACTCTGAAGGTCCAGACTCTGTTCCCAAAGGTCCAGACTCTGAAGGTCCAGACTCTGTTCCCAAAGGTCCAAACTCTGAAGGCCCAGACTCTGTTCCCAAAGGTCCAAACTTTGTTCCCAAAGGTCCAAACTCTGAAGGCCCAGACTCTGTTCCCAAAGGTCCAAACTTTGTTCCCAAAGGTCCAGACTCTGTTCCCAAAGGTCCAGACTCTGTTCCCAAAGGCCCAGACTCTGAAGGCCCAGACTCTGTTCCCAAAGGTCCAAACTCTGAAGGTCCAGACTCTGTTCCCAAAGGTCCAAACTCTGAAGGCCCAGACTCTGTTCCCAAAGGTCCAAACTTTGTTCCCAAAGGTCCAGACTCTGTTCCCAAAGGTCCAAACTTTGTTCCCAAAGGTCCAGACTCTGTTCCCAAAGGTCCAAACTCTGTTCCCAAAGGCCCAGACTCTGAAGGCCCAGACTCTGTTCCCAAAGGTCCAAACTCTGTTCCCAAAGGCCCAGACTCTGTTCCCAAAGGTCCAGACTCTGTTCCCAAAGGTCCAAACTCTGTTCCCAAAGGCCCAGACTCTGAAGGCCCAGACTCTGTTCCCAAAGGTCCAAACTCTGTTCCCAAAGGCCCAGACTCTGAAGGCCCAGACTCTGAAGGTCCAGACTCTGTTCCCAAAGGTCCAGACTCTGAAGGTCCAGACTCTGTTCCCAAAGGTCCAAACTCTGAAGGCCCAGACTCTGAAGGTCCAGACTCTGTTCCCAAAGGCCCAGACTCTGAAGGCCCAGACTCTGAAGGTCCAGACTCTGTTCCCAAAGGTCCAGACTCTGAAGGTCCAGACTCTGTTCCCAAAGGTCCAAACTCTGAAGGCCCAGACTCTGTTCCAAAGGTCCAAACTTTGTTCCCAAAGGTCCAGACTCTGTTCCCAAAGGTCCAAACTCTGTTCCCAAAGGTCCAAACTCTGAAGGTCCAGACTCTGTTCCCAAAGGTCCAAACTCTGAAGGCCCAGACTCTGTTCCCAAAGGTCCAAACTTTGTTCCCAAAGGTCCAGACTCTGTTCCCAAAGGTCCAAACTTTGTTCCCAAAGGTCCAGACTCTGTTCCCAAAGGTCCAAACTCTGTTCCCAAAGGCCCAGACTCTGAAGGCCCAGACTCTGTTCCCAAAGGTCCAAACTCTGTTCCCAAAGGTCCAAACTCTGAAGGCCCAGACTCTGTTCCCAAAGGTCCAAACTTTGTTCCCAAAGGTCCAGACTCTGTTCCCAAAGGCCCAGACTCTGAAGGTCCAGACTCTGTTCCCAAAGGTCCAAACTCTGAAGGCCCAGACTCTGTTCCCAAAGGTCCAAACTTTGTTCCCAAAGGTCCAGACTCTGTTCCCAAAGGCCCAGACTCTGTTCCCAAAGGTCCAAACTCTGAAGGCCCAGACTCTGTTCCCAAAGGCCCAGACTCTGTTCCCAAAGGTCCAAACTCTGAAGGTCCAGACTCTGTTCCCAAAGGCCCAGACTCTGTTCCCAAAGGTCCAGACTCCATCTTCTCGTGGAGTCACAACAAAAGAAAAGCATCGAAATACATCAGTCTAGAAACGAGAAGAATTCACACTTGATGAAGAGAAAGAGTTTCTCCATCTCCTCGTAGAAATGTTCAAAGAGTTTATAAACAAAAATATATTTTTTTATTCTCTTTATATAAAGCTGGATCATCTCTGTCTGTCGGCCATCTTTTCTTGAAACTTTAGGTTGACGACTTCTCTCTGATGAGAAGAGAAAGATTAGATACCAGAGTCTCCTCCGCTGCAGTCAGCTGACAACACTTTTCTACAACATCTCTGTTTGAATAAATGATGGAATCAAAGAGAACAGAAGAGAGAAAGTCTCACCAATAAGAGAGAGAGAGATGAAGAACACATTGGTAAAGTTTGTATGTGTGCAACGTAGACAGCGTGCAGGAGTTTGAAGACAACTTTTGATATTTAAATGTCCAATCAGTGAGATGTGTAGAGAGTGAGACGATAAAGGTATCTTACTCTCTGATCATTAAGGAAACATGCTATGTTGAAGTGCTGGCTTCTCTGACAACAATGCAGCAGCCAGTATGTCCTCCTTCTAACTTTACATTCTGCTCCTGAATGCTCTGGATTTGTTTGGACCAGAGAAGGTAGGCACTTTTAAGACACACGACCGTTTTGGACGCCCCTCGGTTTGGCAGCTCTCTATGATGTCCCAGCGACTGTGATGTTCTGAAGGTTAAATGAATGTTTTTGTCCGTAGAGTCTGTAAACAAAGTGATGTCATGGCAGTTTCTTCCTAAAATAAAGGATTTCACTTCAGTAAGGTCTCCTTCAGAGTCTTTTAGTTGACATTCTGCTCATTTACCTGCATGGAGACAATAAGAGGATAATAAAAGTATGAATGATTGACTGATTATCAATCAGTGTTAAAGTCTAAGTTTAGTGTTGCAGAGACACAGATATGTTTAAAACATTAGCACCTCTCAGTTTAAACCAGTGGGCGCACACTGTAGCTGTTCCCACTCAACGTTCTTGAAGCCAAAATACGCCGCTTAGGGTCGCTTCCATCTTGCGATTTTGACGTCATTTGGAGCCAGAGTCTGCGCAGTAGGGTCCGGGGGGAGGAGCCCTGGTAACACGCCCCGCCCACTTAGCATACTGCCCTGATGACTTACGCAGCCCAGCTACGCTGAAAGCGCTCTGCCGGTCTACGATGAAGAAATGTGTAAGTACAACAAACCACCGTATTCAAAGTCTAATATTTAAACTCTGTGTTTTTAAAAATCCAGTTATTTTGATCATTATTGAAAACACGTGGGCTGCTGGGTCCTCTGGTTTTAATGAAATCCTTCTATATTGAAGCTATATTTAAGCTAGGTTAGCACCACAGGCCGTAGACTACAGGTGGTAAGATATGTTGTATTCTGTTAGAAACTGATAGTCTGCAATGTGAGTCATGTCTGCTTTTCTAATATATTTAAGTGAACAGTAAATCAATCGTTTTTTGTATTTTCATTTAGGCAAAGAAGAGATAAAAGCAGCTGGTCTGACATCTTCCACAGAGGTGAAGTGTAAGTTAAAATCATCTGTTAAAAGTTTATATCCTGTGATTTTTATTTAAGTTTCATAAGAGGATTGTCAAAACAAGCTATTGTTAACAATACAGTCTTCTAAAATAAAAATCACACTGAGTCATACACCAGCTAAATGTTAAATAGAAAGGTGATGTTTTCTTTTCCATTTTACAATCAACAGAACCTAAAAATGACTCATTTCAACCTTCATCTGCACACCTGTTACAGAGGTCAGGCTGGGGTCACTTAGTTTGAAGGAACCTCCTCCTTTTTTCACCTGTGCCAGATGCCCTGCTCATCCACTGTGGGAGAAATGACCTTACACCAGCAGCTCTCCCAGATGAAGAGTCCTCTCTGCCATCACCCAGAGGAGCTGATCGACGTCTGAAGACCGTTTTGGACGCCCCTCAGTTTGTCAGATATGAGAGCAGTTATCAGGTCAACAGGTGTTGCAGCGATGGAAGCGGTCAAGAGAAGTGGTTCAGATAGAAGTGATTGTACCCGACCTAAAAAGCCTCTGCATGTTTCTAATAAGCTCCACGAGCAGAAACGTGCTCAAACTAGGATCAATATTGGAGATGCTTTTGAAAAATGGAGAGAGGTTAGAACACAGAAGGTTTACAGACCCATGCAGAGCTGGATAAACACTGAAGCTTCAGAGTCCAACCACATGGTGACCTGAGTGAGCATCCTCTAGAGAGGAGGGGGGGGGGGGGGGGGGAGACAGCTCTCTATGATGTTTAGAATTTAGACTGCAGTACCTATTTTAAACACTAGGAGTCAGAGTTACATACTGCTCCTTTAAAAATAATAAAGAATAAATATCTGGTGTCTAGGACTTCTCATTTTGTTTGCCGTGGTTTCAAACATGTTTGGATATCGTTGGATTTTAGGTGTGAAGGTTTAAAATTCTGCAGCTGCTCTCCAATGAAACGACAGGAAGTGTTTGTGACATCACAGATCAACCTAACTACCTCTGGTATACCTTACAGGTGAGGTATGTTAAGAGCTCTCCTCTTTCTCTCTGTCCACTTGTGTTGAATGAAATGATAGAAATCACGTATGGCGGTTTCCATGGTAACCAGCGAGCTACTCATGGAGCAGCATGAACCAAATGAACTCCTGCACGCCGTCCAAACTGCACAAATACCAAATGACTGCCATTCTCTCTCTCTCTCTTTTTAACACATGACTGAAGGTACTGTTCCAAACGTGGATTCAAAAGTTGATCTAAAGACAACGTGGACGACAGCAGCTGGTCACATTGTCAGAACTCGTGGTCACTTCATGTGACAGCTGTCCTTCACCAGAGGGGGGCGCTGTGCTGTCGCTCTGAGACACTCTGTGACGAGTCCATCTCCACGTCTTCTCGCTCCTGTCAGTCTTTCTGTCCAGCAAAGACTTCAGGGGTCAAAGGTCAAAAGGGTTCAGGGAATGAAAAGGGTCAGCGCCAGACGGACAGGCGTCTCACGGTGCACAGGTCGCGCAGCAGTCTTCTGATTCGGTGTTTGAGCTGCGGGAGGCGGGACAAAGGGTCAGGAGGCTCTAGCTCGCCCGAGTGGTCCAACCACGACTCTAATACTGGAGAGAGAGAGAGAGAGGGAGAGACAATGAGAGATAGAGAGAGAGAGAGAGAGACAGAGAGAGAGCGAGAGACAGAGAGAGAGAGAGACAGAGAGAGAGAGACAGAGAGAG